AATTAGATTAAATTGATTGATTGGACCAATTTAATTAAGAATTGATCCTTAATTAGTTTGATTAATTTTAAGAATTGTTTAATAAAAGCTGCCAATAAATTGGTAAAATTAATTTAGAATTGGTCAAAATTGATTAAATTAACTTCAATTGCTTCAATTAAAATAAAAAATTTATTTTTAAGTTTAATTTAAAATACTTTTAATAAAAATATATGAAAAAAATATAAATTAGAATAATTTATTTTTAATATTTGTCTTACGAATATAATTCAATCATTTATGTTAATTTATAATTTTTAATATTTTTATTTTTTTATAATTTATATTATATTAATTTGATATTCTTTATTTTAAATTAAATTTTTTATTATTAATGAATATTTTTATATTTCATTAAAATTTAAATTTAAATATTATATATTATATTCAGTTTAGAACATAAATATTATATCTCATTAAATTTTATAAATTTAAAAATAATATTTTAATTTTAATTTTTAATGTTAAAAAAATAGGATATTATATTTATTTAATATTAATTTATTATTATTAATAATTATTATTATTTTATTAATACAGTTCAATTACAATTGAATTTGTAACACTGTAGGTTGAAAGCAAGTCTGGGGTTACTAAAGGTTTAGTAACCTTAGGGGAATGGTATTTAAGGTTCTGTTTTGAGTTGGAACCTATTATTTTTAAACTCAACAGAGTTTAGAAAGAAGTTTTAAAGAGAAGGACTCTAGGTCCGTGAGCCCTATTCTCCCTAAAACTCCTCTATTTTTTATTCCTTTTTTCCCTAGATCCTTAATCTCTTCTTTCTCCCCATGAATTCAGGCTTCAATTATTGTGATTGAGAACGTTGTGTTGTTGTTTCGAGGTTGACGAGTTTATCCTTTCTTCTCCTTCTTCTCTTGGCTGTTTTGGGCTTAGATTCAAGTTAGGGAAGCTAGAATAGTTGTAATTTGATTTTGAGCATGGGATTCTTATGTTCCTTGCTGTTTGGGGGGCTACAAAATTTTGAAGGATCTGGATTTGGGGTTCATTCGTTGTTCTGGTTACTTTTGTGGTTGAATGCGGAAATGGGATGTTTTGGTCCCATTTGTTGTTGCATGTGTTGATTTTGAATATTTTGAAGTGCCCAAAGGCTGGTTTCTGTATTGCATGTGATTATTTTGTGGAATTGTAGGTCTAATTGGTGTTAGGAATTGAAAAGATACTAGTTTTGTTCAAAAATTTATGGGGATTTTGTTGTCATATATATACATACATATATATATATATATGTATGTATGTATGTATGTATATATATATGTACATACATACATACATATATATATACATACATACATACATACATACATACATACATATATATATATATATGCCGTTTAATTCTGTCCATATCCTAAGCGTTGCTTATAATTCAAACTAATTGGGTATCCAAAGCAAAATTATCATCTCAATTATGTATTCATTTTCTAAGTTTCTATTAATTTGAAAATGTTAAATATATATATATATATATATGCAGTTTTGGGTTTGGGTTGCATGTAGATTTTATTTCAATTTTTGAGTCTTTTATGTTGCATATATGAGTTGTTTTGGTTTAGGGTTGTAGTGGGAGGTTTGGATATAAGTTTGGGGTGGAAAGGAGTGAGTTTGGAAGTGTTTTAAGGCATTTTCGTGACCTTGGACGTTGGTACACTCTTTTGTTGTCTGGTGCAAGGGATGTTTTTGCTACAATTTTGTTGTGCCCGTATCAGTGCTTTATTGATAGAATTAGATTTTGTAGTTTACATGAGAGTTGTAGCCTTGAATGTTAGTTTTCCAATGACACTAAAATCATTTAAAACGAAGGTCTAGAACTCCAGTTATGACTGTTTTAGTGAACAGAGGTCAAGTTGTCAACACTAATTATATCTGTTGCGGTTTTTGAAATATTTAGCTAAGTAGATGATCTTTTTATAATTTTATATCTTCATAAGAGTTGTAGCTCATTCTCTTAGCTTTCTTTTGAGATAGGTTTGAATATGTGGAAGATTTGTTTAAGATTATGGGATGCTATGTTGTAAAGTTGGTTCATATACATGTTATACGATGTAAAATGGTGATTGATTCATAAATATGCTTGAGAGTGATATATGAATATTTAAACATATATTCTAACATGATTTAGTATGCATGTATGTTGATACGAGGATGATGATGATTAGGATGGTGAATTGACCATGTATGTGATGCATTGTTGTATGTTATGCCTTATGACATGTGTCTAGCTTAGGATTTGAGGAGAGAATTTTTTTTTTTTTTTAAATCTTGAAGAGCTCACATAGAGTTTTTTGAAAGTGTTGCTTGTATTGACCACTGATTTGAAAGCTCTCTTAGAGAGGTAAGTATTTGGGAGTGGTTTTTGGCTGAGGTGAGTCTCCTCTAAGTCCTTAACTGATGTTAGAGCGAGGTAGGAGGTCAAGGGTTCTTTCCTTAACCAGGTACCTAGGAAGGTTGTTTGGTCCCTTGCAGATAGTCGATGGGTGAACTCCACAAGTGACTTGGTAATGTATGCCAAGGTTGTGGTAAGCCTATACCCAACTATACTATACCTAATGGTGGAACCAGACTTTCATTAGTGTAAGTGACACGATCCGAGTAAATCCAATAAGGGATTTGATATCTCGATTTGCTATGACCAAGCAGACGCATTGGGCGTGAAAATGGTTGGAGTGATTTCGATAGGATGAGATGTCACTTATACTATTTTGTTAATAGGGAGATCTTTTAGGTGAATGTGTGACAACGCATTAGATGATTGATATACATTAATATCTTTCATGTGTTCTTTAATTGCATGATTTTTGTTAATTATGATGAAGTGTATGACTGTATGGTGCTTACTAGTACAAAAGAGGTGTACTACGTCAGACATTTTCAGCTTTTTACGTCAGAAAACATACCGACATAGAAGCGGGAGACGTAAATTTTACGTCGGATCCACAAAACCGACGTAAATTTACGTCGGACATTACAACATCCGACGTAAAAAAGTAGGAAAAAAAATAAAAAATAAAAACATAAAAATGCCAGCAGAACGGCCCGTTCTGCTTCTAGAACAAGTCATTCAGCTTCGTATAACAACCCAAAAGAAAACGCCCACTACCTATACAAATAGAACAACCAAAAAATCAAATAAAACAGATAGCCAGAGTAGCAATGCGAAGTAGAAAAGTGCTAACGAAACCTTGATTCATACCTGAGGAGCAGCAACAATGTGCAAATGAGTAACAAAGAGTTCATCCCTCTGCAAAAAACAAAAAAAATGATTCAGTAACAAAGGAGAGGGAGAGGGTTTAGAGAGAAAAAAATGAAAAGTGATGAAGAGTGAATGCGCGCGGTGTGCCTCGCGCTGTCTTATTCAAATTTGCGTCCTTTTTTACGTCGGACCTGGTAGGGTCCGACGTAAAAAAGTTCGCAAAAATTACAAAAATGCCACCGCGTTTTTTTTACGTCGGATTTAAGTATTTCTGACGTAAAAGAGGTGACGTAATATGCTAATTTTCCACTAGTGTTGACTTCATGATTGGTGATTTGATAACTGAGTAACATGGATGTTGATTCTTATGCTTGTATGGTTGTTTATTAAATTCTAGCTTATCCTTCTGTTTTCATGTGAATGGACTGTTATGATTATACTATATATGGAAGCAGGTTAGAGTTAAGTTGGAGCTGCTATGATCGTTGCGGAGGTGTTGTAGTTTTGTTTTAGTGTCAAAGTTATTGTTGGAGTAATTGGTTACGTGTGCTTGCCTGGTATTAGGGTAGTACTATTTTGGATGACTGTATATACATAGTATTCTATTTTGTACATAAATATGTGATTTTATCATTACATTTATATAGAGGTGTATATTTTGTTATCCAATTTAATATTTTATCTTAGTCGGCTAGTAAATTCTACAATTTCTCTAAATGTAGGAACTATAACGGATCGTTATAAAATCATTACATCTTAAATCAGTATTTAGATCAATTAAATAATCAATCTAATTTTAAAAAATTAATAATTATAATTAATTAACACTAATTTTCTTTTACTCTAACAATTTAAAGTTATATAACTTTTTCTAAATAGTTTTATCATAAAATACACTCGTAAATATAAGTTGATTTTCAAATATCAATAAAATTCTCTTTGATTCTAATTATAATATAATTTTCTAAATTGTAATCTTTTAAAAGATATTTTACTATTTTTATAAAATATTATTTTTACTATATATGTTTTTTTATTATTAAATAATAATTTTTTTAAAATATTTTTTTTTTCACTTTAAAATTCTTAAAAATTCTAATCGATATTTATCAATTATTATTAATATTGATGGATATATTTTGATATAACAAAATATAAAAGTTAAATTAATACATGATAATTTAAAAATCAATAAAATTAAATAAAATGACTATTTATATTAGTATGTGTAATTGTATTATAAATATCTTATAATAAAAATTGAAGAAATTATTTACTAAGTTAGTTGAAATAGATGCATAAGTATTTAAATTCGATGGAATAGTTACACTCACATTATGACAAATAAAATTAGATTCTGACACAACGAATCGAAAATAACAAAATACTTAATAAGTTCGTCGCCGGTAAAATAAATTATTCATACTAAATTAAGATATATTTATTTCATGGTCTTGTTAACCAAAAACATTAGTTAAAGAACTAATATATAACCTTTTAAATTAAAATCCAAAAAGAAGATACATATACAAAAATGTATATACAAATTGCTAAAAAAAATATTATGGTTCAATTCTTTATCCGTAGCTAAAAGCACCTTAACATGTTGCTTATTTCAATTTGTGTATAGAAGTTGCTTTCACGAATCCTACATATATTTGTTCGTATAATAATTAAAGTAACGTTAATCCCTCACCCAAGCACAGTACCCTAGTCAGTGGATATAAATATACTAAACCAGCGGCAGCAGAATAAGCCATGCTTTCATACAAGTGAGTGGTTTCCTGAAAAGGAGAGAGAGACAAAAATAAGCTCCAACACAGAAGAAAAAGAAAAAGAAAAAAAAATAACAAGTCTCGTCGCGGAGGCAGTCCTAGACACGCACACGGAACCGTTTTTAACGTGTCACGCTCTAAATTTGCATGGCATCTTGTCCTTGATCGAGTCAAATCCTTAATAAACCCTCTCCTCACTCTGTTTTACAACGTTTGTGGTCATGGCGGATCATCGCTCTCATCGAAGCAAAACGACGTGGTGCAGCCTCGTATTATGGTCATGGATGTTGGTGGCGCACAGTGCAGCCGCGAGGCCCAACCGGAGGGAGTGGGACTCGGTCATAAAGTTACCGACTGAACCGGTTGATGCTGATGCGGATGAAGTGGGAACGCGATGGGCTGTTCTGGTTGCCGGTTCCAACGGCTATGGAAATTACAGGCATCAAGTGAGTTTCCTTTTTTAGTTTTTATGTTTTTTATTTATGGATGTGATGATGAATTAAATTAAATTAAATACAATACAATACAGGCAGATGTGTGCCATGCATACCAGTTGCTGATAAAAGGTGGACTCAAAGAGGAGAACATTGTGGTGTTTATGTACGATGACATAGCTACCAACGAGTTGAATCCTAGACCTGGAATCATCATTAACCATCCCCAGGGACAAGATGTGTATGCTGGTGTTCCTAAGGTGACTTTTTTTTTTTTTTGGTTAACTCTCCAACGTATAAATTAAGCTAACAAATTTAAGTGCTTAAAGTTTGATTAAAGTGGGATACACGGTGCTGATTATTTAATTCGTTTGCCATCGCATGTGATTATGATCCGATGAAAGCTCTCTAATTCTAAACCAATGTTTCAAGCTTTTGCATCTTTTTTAAATTAATTATTTTTCCCAAAAGGTGAATGGTTGTAATAATATTACTCCATTCTGAAGTGGACAACTTTTTCTTTCTTAAATTTCTTTTTCTGAAAATAATTTGGTGCAACAGGTGTGCACGGGATGGGTATATACTTATATATTCGAAAGGAAAATAAATGATATCGATTAAACGGAATTTTGTTTGGATGTCTTTGATATAGTAATACTATATCAACATTAATTTATTGCGTATAGGAAGAAAACAGGGGTATGTGAAATAAAATGGGCTATGAAATGGAAAGATAAGAACTGAAAAATTGTACAACAAAAAAAGGTGATGTGAAAATAATATTTCTAAAACCAAATAAAAAAAAGCTCACCTAATAGTTGTTGAAAACTAAGATTAAATTACCCATAAATAAAAAGGAAATGGGCATTATTTAACATTTATCTCATGGACGCCTGTGCGTTGGAGCATCTCCTAAGTTGAATTTCTTTTTGATGGAAAGGTACGTTGATATTATATACTTGACTCGCGAATCAACTTTTCTTTTCTTTTGAAAGAAAAAAAGAAGCTCCCTTTGAAACTTTTGTTGGTGGCAATTGATTTTTTTGATTAGAGTAATTGTGGTTCTTTGCATATCCATCATAATGGAGTAACTTCAGATATAATATATTTGGCTTGATAAGTTTGAAGAGAAAATTGGTTAACCAATTGTTGGGTTGTTGATGATAGGTATTAGCGTGGTGAGACGTCTTTGACAAATAAAATAGACGTTTAAAGTTTGCGTTCCTATTGAAGATATTTTTTCAAATAGTAATATTTTAATGGTCAATTCACAAGCTAGCACTATTATTCATTGATTACAGTAACAAAGTAGAAAATGGGTTGTTAGCTATTGCAAGTTGAGTGCATGTTCTGTATATCTTTTGATGAGAATTTTATTTTATTTATTTCTGTAGGATTACACTGGTGATGAAGTGACATCGCAGAACCTCTTCGCGGTAATTCTTGGGGACAAGAGTAAAGTTAAGGGAGGAAGTGGCAAGGTGATCGATAGTAAACCTGAAGACAGAATATTTATATATTACTCTGATCACGGTGGTCCGGGAGTTCTTGGTGAGTTAAGTCTCAAGTCAATTAAGTGTGACTTCAATTTTTTCCTAGGGTTCTTCTAGTCCAAAAATATAAATTAAAAATTCCCGATACCGTAGAACCTTTTCTTTAGTTGGTCTTAAATTATTCAGTTGGTTCTAAATTATTCAGTTGGTCCTAAATTAAAAACTCGAAGTGGGTCCCTAATAATTGGGTTTTCGGTCATGCGAATGTTTTTTAAATTGAGTCCAGCTTTTTTAAAATTGTCTTGGGTTTTTAAAATTCAAGTAAATCATCATTCTTTTAGTGGATTTAAGCTGTCAGAAACTAATTCCAAGACCTTTTTATTTCTTATTTTAGTTTAACAACAAATTTAAAAATTCTTAAACCATTTGAAGACTAATTTAGCCTTGTTCCGAAGTAATATCATGACCCAGTTGCATATCTTACTATTCTTGTACTATTATAAGATTTGGTACACTTGGATGCATTTACGAATTTCGAAATACCAAAATTTGATCATATGATTGACAAATACATTTTAATAATTAATTCCCCACATCGATGAGAATTACGAGAATGATCGACAAATATGAACCTTCAAACTTCAGCCATAGAGATACATTTTAATATGAATATAGTTGTATAAAATAAAATTATCCATGGGTGTAAAAATGATCAAAACAGCTTATTCATTTCCTATTTGTTTGCAGGGATGCCAAACATGCCATACCTCTATGCCATGGATTTTATTGACGTTTTGAAGAAGAAACATGCATCTGGAGGCTACAAGGAGATGGTAAAAATTTCATATCTCTAGTATATCATGACTGGAAATGATGACATTTTAATCATGATAACTTATTAAGGAGTTATGTATCATGTGTCATGTAGGTTATATACGTGGAAGCTTGTGAAAGTGGAAGCATGTTTGAGGGTATAATGCCCAATGATCTGAACATTTACATCACAACTGCATCGAATGCTCAAGAGAATAGTTGGGGAACTTATTGTCCAGGAATGGAACCTTCTCCACCTCCAGAGTACATCACTTGCCTAGGGGATTTGTACAGCGTTGCTTGGATGGAAGACAGGTACTAATATATTGTCTTTCACATTGGAATTCAATTGTTATTAATGGCCTCAAATTTTAAGTATTTTAATGATGATTGAAGAATTAATGGGTTGATCATGTTGGCACCTTAAACATTAACTTTCTCTCCCTCTGGTGCTTGAATTTGCTGCAGTGAAACTCACAATCTAAAAAGAGAATCCGTGAAACAACAATACTATTCGGTAAGACATTCTTTTAATGAATTCCAATATTTATTAGCATCGGGGAAAAGAACAAAAATACAAAGCTATTTTTGTGCAGGTTAAGAAACGCACTTCAAATTTTAACAACTATGCGATGGGTTCTCATGTGATGCAATATGGAGATACAAACATCACAGGTGAAAAGCTTTATTTATACCAAGGTTTTGATCCCGACACTGTGAACTTTCCTCCACACAACGGCGAGCTAGAAACTAAAATGGAAGTTGTTAACCAGAGAGATGCAGAGCTTATCTTTATGTGGCAAATGGTATGGCTATTTTCCCCTGAAGTAATCATCATATACTTGTGATCTTGTAATAACTAACATCAATACATAAAATTGTTTTTTTCTTTTTTTACAGTATCAGAGATCAAACCATCATCCAGAAAAGAAGACAGATATCCTGAAACAAATTGCGGAGACAGTGAAGCATAGGAAACACTTGGATGGTAGCATGGATTTGATTGGTCTTTTACTGTACGGACCAGGAAAAGGTTCTTCTATTCTACAATCCGTGAGGGCCCCTGGTCTACCCCTTGTTGATGACTGGATATGCTTAAAATCAATGGTAAACATAAAGCCTGAGTATTCTTGTTCCTTTTAAACATTCATTGCACATGAACAAGAGTTTAAATGTTATCATCTTACATTGATTATTGATATTAAACATGGGGTTGCAGGTGCGTGTGTTTGAAACACACTGTGGGTCACTGACTCAGTATGGCATGAAACACATGCGAGCATTCGCCAACATTTGCAACAGTGGCGTTTCTGAGGCCTCCATGGAAGAGGCTAGTGTGGCAGCCTGTGGTGGCTATGATGCTGGGCTATTACATCCATCAAACAGAGGCTATAGTGCTTGATTTTGGGTTCTAACACAAAGCCTTAAAAGCCCGTTTGATAATGTAATACCCTGAATTGCATTGTTCCCTACTGTTTGTGTCAAATTTGTTTTTGGTATAACTAGACCAGTCGAATAGCATACCAAAGTGTTATACGTTCGTGCATTAGTCATGTACATATGTGTAATACCTTTTACCTTTTTATAAGATAAATTAGTTTATTAACATCCATTTGGGATGAAAATCTTATGTCTCCCAAGTCTGTCATCAATTCCTCACGTCAGTTAAAAAAATATTAACGGAGTAGTTTCACTTCACCTCACAACGGATTACCAGAGAATGAATATGTTTGGAAATGTTTCTTCCATGGTTTACGTGCGGTTTCCTGCTGTTTTTTTTCCATGTTTATCTGGTTCTTGTTTCATTTTCTACCATAGTTATTCCATTCACACCACATGAATTGAATTCCACCTCTTGCACAATTTTGGTTTCCTTCCTTTGATTGTACAGTAAATTCCTTATTCTTTAATTTCTTCAGCATGGTGTCTAAGTTCAAGGGACTAGAAAAGATCTTTGATTGCGTTAAAGTTTCGGAAAAACATTCTCTACCTGTTTTCTGTGATTGTTGATGCATCTGAGGTGCGAAACAGACCCAGGATTATTAGAAAGCCTTGGCCAAACACAGATAGATTCGCAGAAATTAGAGAGAAGATGGAAAACTGACCAAAGACGTAAATTAATTTTAACTTTAATCTAAATTTAACTGATGTGATTATTCATTGACGTGGCATTTTGTTATTGGGGGACAGAAATTAGGCACAAGGTATAAGTATAAACAATCTATTCGATGTTCTATTTTCTTTGGTGGAGCAGAGTATTCTGTTGCTTTCTTTTCATGAAATTCATCATTAAGTATAAACAATATATTGGTCTAAACTTCTTACCAAAAGAGAAAAATCAGTTCCATTGGACCAGAGTAAATTAATAGTGACTGTAACGAAGCTTGAACCATAATTGAGATTATATTTTTAGCTGAAAATTGGCCTTAGTGTTTCGAAAATACCACTGTTTTTAGTTTTTATTTTAATGTCAAACAATTAATAAAGTGAAGGTTAATTAAATATTTGTCTGCATTACTTATTTAAAATATAATAAGATTTTGAATTTAGAAAAAAAAAAATCATTTAAATATACATTATTTTTTAATTTAATATGGTATACCAACATGTAGAAGTTAAGACTAATTAATTGTATTTAATTCTATTCAAGACAAATAAAAAAAAATGAATATATAATATCTTTAAGGCTTAAATATGTTTTATGTATTTAATTCTATTCAAGAGAAATAAAAAGAACACATGAATATATAATATCTTTAAGGTTTAAATATGTTTTTAGTTCTTCAAATTTAAGACAAATTTATTTTTGGTCTCTCAAATTTAAAATTATTGTTTTTAGTCTCTATAATTTTTAAAAATCTTATTTTAGTTCTTTAGGTCACTAATAACATATTTAAAAATGATTAATTAAGACAGTTATGTATTATCAACTAGATTTAATGTGATATTTTTACTAATAGGGATACTAATAGATAAATTTTATGTAATAATGTTTGATAAATTTTTTAACAAAATTTAAATATAAGGACTAAATTAAGATTTTTTTAAAATTACAGAGATTAAAAATAATAATTTTAAATTTGAGGGACTAAAAATAAATTTACTCTAAATTTAAAAGATTAAAAATACATTGAAGCCTTTCTTTAATATATAGTGTTTCATACTATCTTTCAACTAATAAGTTTTGGATTGGACCATGTTTTAAAATTTGAGTTTGAGCCTCAAAAGTTAACTCTCACTCGTGTTCAACAGCATGGATAGATCCACTATTGACGACTTATATGAGTTGAATATCCAATGTTTTGTATAGAAACAGAGAAGAAGCTTTTGAGTTAGAAACCCGTAAACTGAGTGAAAATTGCATTAATGTTATTACAGCATGGTACTGAGAGCATTTTGGTTTTACTGTGATTTTAAGTTGATGGAAGCACAAGTGCCAAGGCACCTGTGATAGCTTGGGGTGGTGGCAATAATCTTTTGAACTCTCTCAAACTCGGAGATTTTACAGGGTATGGTTATGACACCAGGATGATCGAATCCGTAAACATTTTCTGCATCCTCCAATAGCTTTCCAAGCAGAGGGTGATTGAAGTGAGTAACCGGTACCAATACACGCTGTTTCTCATCTTCAGATTCACCCACATACACTGCCAAGTGTCCCTTTGGTAGCTCTATTGGGCTCTTGCCCAATTGCACATACTTGGGTTCCCACTCTGGCAAACACAACCAATTGGTTCTTTGTCCAAAACATCGCACCAATTTCAAGATCACATACTTGGGGTTGGCACACTTTCTCATCATTCTCACGGCCTATGGCAATAGTTTCAACTTTCACACGAGTATGTACTCTTTTATTAGTTGATTATGGTCCTTTTTAAAGACCCGAATGAAATAGTTCCGTACTATGATTCACTTGGCATCGGAATTTCGCTCGTGTTTTTATTCGAACGATAAGATAAAGGAAGAGCACTAGAGGTGAGACAGAATAAGTGGCAAGCCGGTGAATGGTCCAAATATTTATCTTGTCTTTTATGGAAATATGACAATTAAATTTGGAAGAATTTTCTTGTTAGCCTTTTCAATTCTTGGTTTTTATCAACCGGCATATCCTTTTCCTTCGACATTGCCCAGAAAGGTTTTTTCATATTTGTAGCTTGGGAAGAGAGAAAGGAAACACGATATATCCGTCCTTGTGAGATTATGTGACGCAATTGGAGTTAAATAATGACCAATTTGTGGTACTTTTCGGAATAAAAAAGGTTCAATTTATGGTGCAGTTTGAGACTTGGTAGGGGAGAATGAGTCGGATTATATATTTGGATGATAGTTTCTAGGCTAATTCTATAAGAGACTTAGTTATGCAAGTTAATGTCGTGGTAGGCTCACACCAAGCTATTCTACCCTGGGATGAATACTAGATTTCCTAGTTTAAGTGATGAAATTCAAGAAACCATGTTATGAATTTGTATCCAAATTGGTTATTGGTTTAAAATGTGTAAAAAGATTGTGTTGGTTTAGTAGGATCAAATCACTTAGACTGCTCACTTTTTTTATAAGAGATCTCCGTAGATAAATACATGATGACTAATATAGTTGAGGTTTTATGCATATGATGTGTTGATTATGATGATGCTCATATGCTATGTTGAATGACATGATTGTGGTGTAAGTTGAAATGTTGTGATATCATCAAGTTAGTTACCTTTTAAGGTTGTTGAATACCATGTTGAGGTGTTGTTGTTAAGTTGTTATGTTGTAAGCCATGTTGTAGTTGTGTTGTGTGGTGTACATGTTGGTGTGAGTAGTATAATTGATTAACTTCTATACTTATTATATAATTATTCTTGTGTATACTAATTTATCCTTACATATTTTTTTGTAGTTGGACTACAATGATCATATTTATATGAGAGCAAGGATGGGAAAGGTTCAAGGTTCAAGGCAGAGATGTTTAGAGGCCATGCAGAAGGAAGACATGTTATTTTGTTAGGTTACTCTGATATAACTAATTGGTTTAGTTATTGTTTGACCAATTACTTAGAATTATTATTTAGTACTAAATTTTGTACATATGTACATACTTGTATAATTATTATGTTGCATTAGTCATGGTTGCAAAATTATTTATATATATATATATATTATTGCTTTAGTTGTTCCGAAATTCTTTACATCTATATATATTATTGAGTTTATATCTAGGCATTTGTTATATATAAATCTTAGATAATTAAATATTTTTTGTTACTAGTAATTGAACCATTAAGAGTAAAAATGACAAGTCATTATACTAAAACTATTATTTTTTAATAAATAGTATTAATGATTTTTTCTTGTTACTTATTTAATATTTTAAAATATGCAAACTTTGCTAATAAAAAATACGAAAACTTTTAATTAAACTGTGTGTCTGTCTGCCATAATAAGAAATACAATGTTATGCGTCGTAAAGAGTTGGGACTTATATTGCATGTACATTATTAACTGTTTGGTAATTAATGAAGAAACTGTATGCAAATGACCACTTGTAAATGTTTTAACATTTAAGTAAGTTTTAAGTTGTTGTAAAAAAAAAAAAAAAAGTAAGCTTCGAGTTTAATGAAAAATTGTAAAAATTAGAGGAAATAAATATGAAATCTCTATATTTCTTTTTCAATATATTTATTTTAATCAATCAACTTAATAGATAGATAGATAGATAGATAGATAGATAGATAGATAGATAGATAGATAGATAGATAGATAGATAGATAGATAGATAGATAGATAGATAGATAGATAGATAGATAGATAGATAGATAGATAGATAGATAGATAGATAGATAGATAGATAGATAGATAGATAGATAGATAGATAGATAGATAGATAGATAGATAGATAGATAGATAGATAGATAGATAGATAGATAGATAGATAGATAGATAGATAGATAGATAGATAGATAGATAGATAGATAGATAGATAGATAGATAGATAGATAGATAGATAGATAGATAGATAGATAGATAGATAGATAGATAGATAGATAGATAGATAGATAGATAGATAGATAGATAGATAGATAGATAGATAGATAGATAGATAGATAGATAGATAGATAGATAGATAGATAGATAGATAGATAGATAGATAGATAGATAGATAGATAGATAGATAGATAGATAGATAGATAGATAGATAGATAGATAGATAGATAGATAGATAGATAGATAGATAGATAGATAGATAGATAGATAGATAGATAGATAGATAGATAGATAGATAGATAGATAGATAGATAGATAGATAGATAGATAGATAGATAGATAGATAGATAGATAGATAGATAGATAGATAGATAGATAGATAGATAGATAGATAGATAGATAGATAGATAGATAGATAGATAGATAGATAGATAGATAGATAGATAGATAGATAGATAGATAGATAGATAGATAGATAGATAGATAGATAGATAGATAGATAGATAGATAGATAGATAGATAGATAGATAGATAGATAGATAGATAGATAGATAGATAGATAGATAGATAGATAGATAGATAGATAGATAGATAGATAGATAGATAGATAGATAGATAGATAGATAGATAGATAGATAGATAGATAGATAGATAGATATTACACATAATTAAATTATAAAAATTAAAATTTAAATAAAGTCAATTTTTAAATAATTTATTTAAGATAATATAGCCCATAGCGACTTCTTAAACAGAAAAAAAAAATATCCTAACAATTAAACAATTCAAGACAATTAAATAGTAAAATCTAAAATTTAAATAAAATCAGTTTTTATATAATTTATTTAACATGATATAGCCCATAACGACTTAAAAAAAAACAGAAAAAATACATAAATAACAAATTAAATTACACTAACTAAAAAAATAAATATAATTAATTAAATTACACAAATTAATAAAACAGAAAATACCTCAAAGACAAAATACCTCTGAAGATCTACGAAAATTCAGAAAAATAAAATTAACCTGAAATAATAATTAAAATATATATAAGTTACAAAATATTTAAATATAACGAAATTATAATTAAATTAAAGAAACGAAAAAAAATACTTACCTGATTCACGCTATGGGCACTGGCTGCAATGGCTGAAAAACGAAGTGGGGAACCATCAACTGAAGGTAAAAACTCTCTTATATAGAGGTTATTATTTTTTTTTTCCTGTTTCAGGCCATGTGTCAAATTACTATTGGTTAAAATCGCGGTAATTTGACACGTGGCTACGGGGTCATAAATTTTTTTAACTGCCACCAGTGTCGCTATGGGCTATAGCGACACAGTGTCGCTATAGGCCATAAGATAGATAGATAGATAGATAGATAGATAGATAGAGGAAGATTCAAATAACACCGGTATAACTTTTACTAAGTATTATATCGCTAAATAACTTTATATTACATATGGATTTTACAAATCCAACCATTGAATTATAACTTTATATCACTTTATATGTTTATATCAATTTTTGTTAAAATTAAACAACTTGAAGGTAATCAAAATGTTCATATTTTATTAGATTTTGAAATGTATATATTACATCAATTTTGTTTTTATAAGAATGAAGTATCAAATCATCTTGGATTAATATAAAATTTTGTTTATATGATCTAAGAGTAAAGAACTTTCAATCTAACGATTGGATTTATAAAATTCACATTTAATATAAAGTTATTGAACGATATAATATTTAGTAAAGGTTACACCAGTATAATACTTAGAGAGAAAGAGAGATTCACTTACTCTAAGAGTAAGTTTACCTATATTTACTTCACACAATAAATCATGTTCTATATCAAATTTCAACAATCTAACCGTTGAATAAAAAATTCTTAATATATAGATCAAGCTTGTAAATTTTTAAAATTTTGAAAACTATTTGATACTTCATTTCATTAATTCAAATGAACATATAAAATATTTTTATGATTATCCATCAATTTGAATTAAAGAAACAAAGTATCAAATAATTTTAAAAATTTGCAGACTTGATAAACTTTATATATAGACAACATAACTAATTCAACAACACAACAACCTATGTGTTGTCATGCATATCAACTAAGAGATCTCTTATAACATTGGTGAGCATTCTAAGTGACTTGACCTTACCAAACAAACAACAACATGATATCAATCCATAATACAACATGGTTTCTTGGATTTCACCTCTTAAATTAGGAAAGTCTAATACGCGACTTCAAGAATAGTGTAGCTTAGGTATAAGTCCGTCATGACATTAACATGCATTAATCAAGTCACTTATGGTTACAACCCACTAATTATCCCTATGACACCATGCATACCTTTCTATTAATCAATTAAGGATTTTACCTCTCGACTTCATACCTTACTCAATTTGGCTACTTCTAAACTAGTATGGTTCGACCTAACCCCTATATGATATCAACTAAGGACCTAGAGGAGACTCAATGCTCCACTTCAAGACACAACTATACTCAAGAAGAGTTTTTCAAAAACTAAGCTCTAAAAGATAAAAAAGAAGAAGGGAATTTCTTTAGCTCTAGAGCCTATCTATCCAATTTCTCTCTAAATTTCTTAAGAAAATGAATTTATGAAGTTCAAATCTTAAAAAAATCTTATATATATTATCTTAAACTTGATCAACAATGACTTTAGCTCAAAACAACTCTAAATAACTAAAATCATAAAATTCATTAATCTTTAGAATTTTAAAACATTAAACAACAAACCATATAAATCACATATTTAATAAATTTAAATAAAGAATCATATAATTTACAATATTACA